TACAGTAGAGCGTCGTTTATCCGAAAGCTGGTTATCCGAAACGTCCATTATCCGAAAGCATTCCAGTCGGCAAATTTAAATTTTCGCTAGTGCTGTGGCGCTGCAATCTTCGGCTATTTCTCGGGCTACTCAAATATTTTACGTTTTTGATACTAAATTAACATCTGAAGTATAATTTTTTATTGTTTTTATATTTTTCAATAAATTTATTTTGTTTGTACAAAATAAAATAATAATTTTTAACGATATAATAGTCTTCGTTAGGCTTAACATCGACGAAAATTCAACGCGAAGCGACATGCAACGGAGAAAAATTTCAACATGGGATAAATTAATACAGGTAGGCCTTCTACAACGCGGTAGATACGTTCCTTGAAAATACCGCGTTGTGGGAAATCGCGTTATAGGAGACATCAACTTAATACAAAAACTGGGATTCGATTCTAAAAAGAGAAAAACTTGGCGTTTGAATGGCGTTTTTTGAATTTTTCAAACCAGCCATTGCTAGCCACGAATTTAACACTGGTTTCATCAACCGACGACTGTCCCATTTGTTTTAAATAATCAAATATTTTTAAGGCTTTGTGTTTAACTGCACTTTTATTTAAGGCAACCGTTTCTTGTTCATATCTTCTATCCATAATATTAGCGCTTGTTCCATTTTTTTTTCATTATAGGTGCTCTCAGACGAGCAACATTTTTCGCAAGAATAGATGATCCGGATGCGACTGAATTCCTAATCTTTTCTACCTATTGCTTAATCGACCGAATAGTTGACTCATTTAAATTAAAATGCCTACCAATATCAGCTATCCGCTCTTGATTTTTAATTCGATCCAAAATTTCTATCTTTGTTTGAAGAGATATATTAATAAATTTCCTTTCTAACGACGGTCCTTTCTTTTCATTCGACATTGTTATGGCTAAAATGTTTTCAAGCAGTTTTGTGGACAGTAAAAATCGCAAAAAATAACTTCCCTTCACTATGTTGTTAAAAATATACACCTAATAGAAGTTTATACTGTATTTTGGACCATTTTTGTGGTCCCCACCTATTGAAAGAGTATAAATTATCGATAATTCAGTGATATATTTGATTGTTTATGGTAACTGATGCACATCTGTTTAGATACCGGTCTTCCCCTGAAACTTTCATGGGAATAACACGTCAACGTGGACAAACAGTTGTTTTCGAGAACATTTAGCTCTGTACACCGAACTGCGGCGCGTATTACGTGATCCGTTGCGAGTTTTCTGTTATGTGAAAGATAATTCGTCTCTAAATACCGTAAACCGCGTTGTAAAAGTATCGCGTTGTAAGAAAATTTTCACATTTTTCCAACCGCGTTGGAGCGAAAACGCGTTGTAAAGGTACCGCGTTTTAGGAGGCCTACCTGTATATTTTTTCGTACATGATTCGTTATCCGAAAAATAAGTTATCCGAACCACCCCAGTCCCCAATTGATTCGATAAACGACGCTATACTGTATCAGCATTAATTTAAAAAATTATTTTTAATTCTTAGTTCTGCAGGTACTTTTAATGTCCACAAAGCAGAAAGAATAAAAACAACTTGTATTTCTTTTTCTGTTTATAACGAGCACGACCCAACTCCATAGTGGAATGAACAAATCATGAAGGACAAGACCACTAGTGAAAAATTTCCTATAGATCTTATCAGGCAGTGAACCCTGGTCTTTCAGAATGGTAGGTGATATTTTGGCCAAGGTGGTTATGGTGTCAGTCTATTGCACTTGGAAATATGGAATCGAAACTGGGTGGTCGAAAAACCCTGGGTATTTTTGGGGTCTCTCCCATCCTTCACTATCCAGTCGCCTCAATTGTGGGCCTGGCCAAACTCATGATGAATATGATTAAAAAGCCCTATTTTATGCTACCACCAGTGACCAAGTGGATAGCACCCTGAACATGGTTCATGATCTAGTCACATGAAGTTTTCTGGGGTTTCTTACGTGTCTAATGCTTAAATAGGGGCCATTTTCCTATAAGACCTCCCGCAACACTCCCTTGGCAAATCGTCCATGTGATGGCCTTATTCCATCAACCCAATCCCTATTTCCACGAGACGAAGTGTTGAACTTAAGAAATTGTGCCATTCACAGCCGAATAACAAACGGTATTCTGCCGATCAATCAAATTTGGCGAAAAACTAACCAAATGTGTAAACTCGGCGCCTTCGAAAACTGCTCAAAACATATTTCGTTCAGGCCTGTAACCTCGTATTATGTAATTTTCCTATTCGAATGCCATCATCCGCCGGCCCGATAGAAAGAAGGGCTGTTGCGAAAGGGGTTTGAAGTAATTTGACCAAAAGTAGTTGGCCTCCTCCCGGAAGAGAGGATGGTCAACGACTACTAATTGATATTGGTCTACCATTAATATTTGAAAAGTGATACGGGTTGTGATGGCTCCGCATGTGATCGAAGTTGCTAACCTTAACGTCCGAAAGTCTTCATATAAAACTTGTTTAAATAAAAATAATCTTGTCAAAATTCGAGAATAATTGCTTTTATGTGATGATAAAGCGTTTATATTTTGCAACAGATTTTATAAACTACATGGGAAGTATGTTCTCCTAAATATCGATCGCGTTTATAGAAAAATTATTGGACTGCAGGTTTGAAAAAACTAGACCTGTAAGTTTCCACTGTCCTCCCTTTGTCCGTCTGTCTTTCCCTTGTCTCGAGAAAGCAGTTAGATGAAAATCGAGACCAAATATGAAAAACTTAGGGCAGAAGTCCAGATTAACTATACGAAGAAGTCACGTTACTTCGATTCAAAGTTCCCCCCGAACGGAGTTAGATGACGGACAAGACTCTATTGCTAACAGGAAAAATATGTGTAGAGGCAAGACACCACTAAAAGAATTGAGAACATCGAAAGTTGCAGCCCGGCATTGTGACTATGTCACAATAAATAATCACTCGTTACAATTAGTTTAGTTACGGCAACGTGATACGTGAGCGATCTGCCGAAGAGAATGCATCCCGGGAAGACATGTAAAGCTGGCCCCTATTTAGGTGTTACTAACGTGAAGAAAACCCAGAAAACCACGCGACCAGCCCGTTGGCCACGCTCAAACCCAGGACAAACAAAATACCGGTGTTCTGTCGTTTTATCCATTCGGCTACTGGAGGCAGTGTTTAAGACAGTATCGTTCGGAAATGAAAAAATCCGAGTGGCTAGTGGCTACCCGTCGCAGTAATTAAGTGAATGTAATATACATTTAAAAAAATTATATCTTTTTTTGGAAGAAGTATATTCAGTTAATGATTTTGTTAACTTTTTTGCCAATAGATAGCGATACTTGTAAATCAGCAACTGGAATGTAGACTGAAATTAATTTATTTACAGAAATTCAATATTTTGGGGGTGGGATTACGACATTATCTAAGTTAAAAGTATGTAAACGTAACTGCCGAGTTTCGTAGCAATTGGTCTAACGGCCTAGGAGTTTATAGCGAACAAACAAAAACATCATTTATATACTAGATCAGTGTTTCTCGACCTGTAACGAATCGTCGCCCCTTCAATAAAACCGTTACGTAGTATCGCCCCCTTCGCTTCAAAATTCCGAGGGTCGAGGCTAACGTTAAATTCGTATTTCATCGAATAGACTAGTGACTAATATAATGTTATTTGCTTAATTATTGTACGATATAACGAATAAAATATCTTATTATTCTTAATATAATGTTTTACTATATCGCCCAGAAAATTGTTTTTCGCCCCCAAAATATTGTTACTAATCGCCCCCCTCAACGTGGAAAAACGCCCACACGGGGGCGATATCGCCCCCGTTGAGAAACACTGTACTAGATGATGCAAAAGAATTATCGCATAACTCGACATTCAATTATCCGACATAAAACTAAGAGTTCATAGTGCTGTTTATTATTAATTTCTGTATTAAATAATCTATTATAATGGGCCCTTGTGAAGATTACTTTTATATTTGTTTTCTATAGGACTTCACTCTATTGTAATTATTGTATATTTAATGTAATAATATTTAATTATTGTGATATTTTATTTTTATATAAATCTGGAAAATTAAGAATTATTTGTGAAAATCGAACATATATTCCAGCAATTATTTAAAAGTTTTCGAAAATAGCACCACTTTCGGTTGGCAACACTGCGGCCTAGCCAATCGCCTGTTTGCCGTTTCGATCACGTGGGTCCCTTCGTATTAAAGAAACAAATAATTTCTTATATTAATTAATTATGTCAATATTTAGATTAAAATTTATTTTCGTAATCGATATTAATTCGTTTATAAAAGCTAAATCGTATTTTTTTTTGTCTTTTTTTTTGGTTTTTTTAAGCGACGATAAATAATTAATAAATTTCCAATCCGTTAAACCCGAAAAAAATATTAGAAATATTACAACGTTTACTTTCCTCTAACGAAATCGAAAACAATATCCTTCGCTTAGTTAAACGGTTTAATGCGATAGTTCCCTTCCCGACCGGTCGATCGCGATCTCTCAGTGAAGCGAGTGACGTCACGGACCGATCGGACGGTCCGTCGACGAAAAATCAAACTAAACGAAATAGTTTTTTGCTTCTGTCGAATATTTCTTAAAAACAAGACGGTTTATGTCATTAGGAACGGGAAGAGATCAAAATCGGAGAATTAACAGAGCGGAAAGCTTAGAAAAGGTGACGAAAAGTAGACGACACCGTAGACATTGCGATCTAGCTCGGGATATGAAGGAAACGGAGAGATGCGTCGTTAGCTTTGCGCAGAGGCGATATCGTAGCCAGTGAGGTTAATCCGAGGCGCGATTATTGCTAGTTGAAAACTATTCCCAATACCCCGCTGAGACGACGTGAAATACCGTCGGCTCCAGCAATTTTTGTAAGCCTCTCACGAGGCTGATTAACCAATCTAAAATTAGATACAAAAGGGTTTTGAAAACAAAAACCTCTACCTTCGTTGGTGAATTTATAAATCGTGCCTTATTACGTCATTTGGTCGATATTTTTTAATTCGACGAAGGATGTGACTTTTAATTAACACTTCACCGGTTATAGCAGGTATGACGTCATTATTACTATTTGTAGCTTTCAGTTTTCGGTGCTACTTTCATCTTTCATTATTAATTTCTGTATTAAATAATCTATTATAATGGGTCCTTGTGAAGATTACTTTTATATTTGTTTTCTATAGGACTTCACTCTATTGTAATTATTGTATGTGACTATTTTTGTATAAATGGCACGATTTACTTTTAGTTTGGTGTAGAATTCTGCTAATTCCTTATAGAATTGTAGTATTTCTGTAATTATAAATTTACACGTGGTAATTATACAGTAAAACTTGTTTATTTTTATTTTATTTTACATACACATGGAAATGCTATTGGACAAAACATTTCAACCCCCCCAATAACAGTTTAACATAATATAACAAATAAATATAATACAGTAGAACCTCGAAAACTCGTCCCTCGATAACTTAGCACTCCGGATAACTGGTCCACACCTTGGCAGGGCGAAAAAATCCTTAGTTAATTAATTTTCATTATAGACAGCTTTATAAAAGTATAAAAGCTCTCATAAAGTTTTTTTCTGAGGTCTGTCTTATCAGGTAAATTACTGTACACAGTGTATTCATTAATTTTCATTTTCATGTAGTGGCTCTATGCCTTCATAAAGGACGTACTTTTCCTTTGTTTAAGGGTATTTGGGCAGTTTATTCTCTGTTATATTCTGTACAAGTAAATACTGTACAAGTACAGTACAGTATTTTCTGAGGAAATACTCGTACTTATTTTTTTTAACCCCGTTCCCGATAACTCGGCATTTTCACAAACTCGGCCACCCTTCGGTCCACATTAGGTCGAGTTTTCGAGGTTCTACTGTAACAGTATAAATGATTTATAAAAAATTCACGATATATACAATTAGTAAAATTACTAAGAAATTAATGTGATAATACTTGGATGTATTTAATATTCAAATAAAAATCCAACAAGCTGAAAAAATAAGTAATTGAGATAATACATAAAACAGAACACGAATTTTCCATTTTGGCAGGTGTTTGTTTTTATGGCGGATTACGTTTTTGCTTCTTCTGCGTGTTGAAAAATATTATGATTAATGTTTAATGGTGCTTTTCCTCGGTTATAATTTTGTCTCTCGTAAAAGTTTTGTTTCGGACATGTGTTGGAACTCTGAAATGTGTGCGCGCGTGCGCTTTTAACTCTTCCAGAGTTTGGGGAGAAATGACAGTATTTCGTTGTAATGAAGACTTTCTTAACAATGAAAGTGCAATCTGAACAAAGACAAAGATGATAGATTGTTACGTAGAAGTTGATCATAATCTAAACCTACAAGTTATAGCATTATGATTTAGAATTTAGCTGCTATTTTGTAGAAAAGTTCCATTTTACTCTGGTTATATTATGCGAGTGGTTCCGTTTGTTTTAGACGGGTTTTTGGCTTATAATAGTATTTTTATAGTAAATTATTCCATTCTGAGATTTGTTTCCATTTAGACAGGTTTCTCTTTTGTAGAAAGTATATTTTAGAAGGTCTTACTGTATAATAATTGTAGTACTTGCTAATAGTTGTCATTTTTTTTCTTTTCCATTCACAAATATCTTCTTCCTGAAAAAACAATACAAGAAAAGTATCTGATTTTGGCATAAAGTAATTCACATAAACATCAAAATTTATTAAAGAGAGAACTTTTTATTTCTGTACATTCAAACTTGTTTTAAAAAATAACCTCAAAAGCATTTTTATTTATTAAAATTGTGTATTTTTAAGATATGGTTTTCCTTTCACAGAATTGCTAAATTTTTGTTTTGTATGGCAATACCATTTACTAGTTTGTCACTCCATGAAACTAGACATGTAAAAAGTTTCCTATAAAATGTTTGCATTTTTTATATCCTTAATATTCAAAACATTAATATAATTTTTACTCAAATTATTCTCAATAATTATTTTTTTTAATGATCTATAAGAATATTTCACAAGCCAGTTTACATTATTAATAATTAATAATATTAATTAATGCTCCATCACTCTATGCAATGTGTATTATTATGTGTCAGATAACCTCAATATTTTTGTTAATTGTCATGGATTTTTAGGTATTATTTTCAAGTATTTTATTTTACTGTTAGTTTAGAATATTTATAGGAAGTTGGTATGAAATGTAACATGAGGTAGGCATTCCTGGTTATTAAATAAAGTATATGTTACTGCTAAAGCTCAAAAGTCGTTAATCTGCAGATTAACTAGGGTGATCTGTTAAAGTTGTGAAAATTGTTCCATTTCTCAAATTACCTAGATAATGTGCAGAGTATCTAGGTAATCCGCACATTACCTACTAGGCACTCGGTAAAGTGAATATAAGATCTTTGCCACAAATAAATGTACCACAAATAGGTGTGCTTGTTGCAGAAACCAATTGCTATGAAATTCAAAGTGTCACCAATCTTTAGACTGCACTAATAAGTAAGCACAATTGGATAATGTTACCTATGGTGAGTAAAATGGCGGCTTGTCTCTGATTCCAGCAAAGAGAAGAAAAGAAACAGTGGGGACGTGCGTTCAAACCTAACCTAACCTATTCTAATAATTTGGTTGGTAATAATTATGGTAATTTATTAGAATAGGTTAGGTTAAGTTAGAACGTGCGTCCCCACTGTTTCCTTTCTTCTATTTGCTGGAATCAGAGACAAGCTGCCATTTACTCACCATAGGTAACATTAACTGCACAATTATATCATGCAATCACCAGAAAAAGTATGATAACTTTATTATTTTTCGTCTCCGGTCCAAAAGTAGGGTATCGTTGAAGTCATCTCGGTCCCCTCAGTTCAGATATATACTCAAAATCCCGAAATTCCATAGGTGGTTATCTATATAATAATTTCCCTAATTGTATTAATATTTTAAATCGTTTGATTTTTTGTGTGTTTTTTAATTGGTTGATGATTGATTCTATCAACTAATTTGTCAATTGTTTGATTGTATTAAGTTGATTCTTTAGATATCGAAAATTAAATAAAGAACATTATGTTAATTTAAGCGTACAGAAACATTGCTGTTGTTTCAGCAAAGATCTTATTTTCACTTTACCGAGTGCCTAGTAGGTAATTTGCACATTACCTAGGTAATTTGAGAAATACCTAGTTAATCTGCAGATTAGCTAGGTAATGTACACATTAACGACTTTCGAGCTTTAGCAGTAACATATACAAAAATGCCTTTTATTTACTAAAGTATTCGGCACATAATCAAAAGCCATGTCAGAAGTATTGTACATTTTCTCTTCGTGTATTTTCACGTTGCAATAAACAATATTTGTCTGTTTGTGTTGTTCAGATTGTTTAGGTCGAATCTATAGGTGTATATTAAATATATTTTTATAAAAATATGGAATTACTTGGTTGTGAAGGTCTTTCAAAACTTTGAACTGCATTGTTTAACAGATTTATAATATTTTTGCCATCATTTGAAGATGTATGAAAATACATCTTCAAATGAATTGTATTAGATATTCAAAGTAGGATTTGATCAATATAATGACTCAAAGAATCTGCAAGAGAAAGATGGCCACTTACAGCAGTCTAAAATCTTACAAAAATTAAAATTGTGCAAAGAAATTACATTATTTTTCTTCACAAGTATTATTATATAATATGGAAATGATCCTGATCGGGATATGTCTTTATTCTTTTTGATGCCAAAATCACATGCAAATCACTTACAAGTTAGATCATCTGCTATGAAAACATTCCATAAAGATTCAATCAAACAGTATTTTGACATGTGGAGAGAAATAATGGTTGACCAATTTATGTATTAATTCTTTCTCAATTTTTATGTACCAGCTAAAGTGTATTAAATTTGTTCAATTCTACACAAGTTGCATATCATTTTGATTGGCTCAGTGTGAGGATGACTCAAAAAATCAGAAAACATGAGTAAAGTCTCTTTCAATAGAATGTAGAATGTGCAAAACTCACAAATTTTCCTAACTTTTGATAGTTTTTTGATGATTTCAGAAACACGCAGCGGTTGTTATAGCAAATCAGAAGCCAAGGCAAGGTCATACCTGTTTGATTTGTGAATTTTTTTTTTGCTGTTTTTGTTCACTTTAATGCATTTGAGGAAACATTTTTGAATTAATGACAAACATTTTGCACATTGTAATATCTGTCAATCCGAGTAGTCCATTATTTTTAAATTCTTTTGCCCAATAAAATTGTTTATATAACAAACATAGATTTTCCTAGTCATATTAATTTATTAAAGAATGAATTAGAAAAGGGCATCATGCTTTAGTGAAAACAGTGTTATATTATATTTATAGCACATAATATACAGTACTGTGGCACATAAATTAACTTCATTTTAATATTTGAAGTTAAAACTATTTACAAAAATATATATCCTTTAACACAACCACAGAAGTAACAGTTATATTGGTTTCTGAAGAAAATCTTTATAAAACAAGACAAATAATAATAGGTAAAAATTCACAAATGATCAAATGTCAGCCTTTTATTTGAGGATCTGACACTTTTACATTAAAAAACAAATAAATCTTCTCACCATACTATCAAGTCCTTCACCAATTTATAACTGATTCAATCCCTCTGGTGGTAGGTATAAGTTATCCATTTCATTTGCATAATTTCACAGTGTTACTTCTGTGGTTGTGTTAAAGGATTAAAAGAAAAACTCGAAAATGTATATATATTTTTGTAAACAGTCTTAACTTCGGATATTTTTTTCTTCAATATTTGGAGTCATCATTGAACATTGTAACTTCATTTTAATTTGTCTGGAAAAGCATCTTAATACTATAAACTCATTTAGTAAATAAATAAAAACACATTAATTTGATTTTGGGTTACATTTCCTAATGTTTGCATCAGAAAACTATGATCTGTGAGGACTTTAAACTTCTTGATGTGACAATTTAATTTTGACATAGAATAAATTGAAAAAAATCTGTTAATTATAAAGTGTGAAGACCTTTCATTCTAATGTATATGTTACTGTGAATGACCGATATCTGGTGAATGTCAATATTCTCCGGTGAATGTCAGCTTTCACACAGTCGTTTCATGTACAAGGTCTGTTCAAAAAGTATCGGACCTTATTTTTTTCCGCGTAAACCAATGATGCGAGAGAGGCCTCCTTCGGTGGAGTTGTGGAGGGGACAGTCATGCACAGCCCTGAATTTTTTCCCGCCTGCAGGAAGCGTCAGTCGTTGGCAATCGGCGTATGAGTGAGGTCATGTAGTGCGCTCTCGTCGGATTTCACTAAGCTGGAAAATGACTGAACAACGTGAGCAGCGATATTACATCAAATTTTGCCAAAAACCTTGGCGAT